GCCAGCGCAGCAACCATTCACTGAGTGGCAGAGTTCATCTGAAATTATTTGGATAATTGTCAAAGTTATTTCTTAAGCTGCTCAGCTTTCTAACCATCACAGGAAAGTGAACATCTGAGAACCTGTGAGGAGCATTTGTCAGCTTCCTGACGTTTGAGGGTTAATTAGTTAATAGAGAAAATGCATTTGAGGTAAATAAAATATTTGTTTTATGAAATGACAGCAAACACTTCTGTGCCAGTCAAGACACAGAACACGAACTGTGTTAAGCATGAGGCTTGTAATGCTGCAGGAGGACAACTCTCTGTCCCACTGCTGTTTCCTGACACAGATAAAAACACTTACCAAGAGACAGATCTGTGAGCAGTGAATGCAACACTTCCTCACACTCCCTCATTTTCTGCTGATTTCTGCACAGTAACTCCACAATGTTTGTTTTCCAGGGCTGTCGATAATTATGGGTCCATGTATAAAGACACTCACAGTAAATAATAATCCCAAGTTTTGTCTGAGCAACAGCTAAAACCGATTCAAGTAGATGACTCTCTATCAGCCAACTGTTCCAGCTCTTTACCCAAACTCTGTGCCAGAAATGAGAGTTGTCAAAACAGGCCCAAACAAAAATCGATTATCGAAGTTCTGCTTTACAAGAGCCGAGCGGCCATCAGGCTCAGATGCACTGCGAGGTCCTGTCTGAGTGCACCAGGGTTCAAAAGGAACAGAAAATCCTCCGAACACGGGAAAACGCTCTCAGGTTGTTGTTCCTGTACTATCAATGACCTGGCAACACACACACCATGATCACTTTCGATACAGGAGACGCCAACAGCAGCAACACGCGCAAACACAATAGATACACCAAACACACATTCCTGATGCTTCTCTGACCGAGAGACCTGAGACGGAGCTGTGGGCTCAGTGCACAGTTGGGCTGCAGGACTAACTGACACGAGGTGAGCCTGTCACCTGTCTGGTCACTGAAGGCACATCACAAACAGCAATCAATAAGGGAACTGGAATTTACCCCAGGTCTGTCCAAGTTCAGCCATACAGGTGCATCTCAATAAATTAGAATATCATGCAAAAGTCCATTTATTTCAGTAATTCAACTCAAATAGTGAAACTCGTGTATTATATAAATTCAGTGCACACAAACTTAAGTAGTTTAAGCCGTTGGGTCTTTTAATTGTGATGATTTTGGCTCCCATTTAACAAAAACCCACCAATTCACTATCTCAGTAAATTAGAATATGGTGACATGCCACTCAGCTAGTCAACTCAAAACACCTGTAAAGGTAATTCACTATTTGAGTTGAATTTCTGAAATAAATGGACTTCTCCACGATGTTCTAATTTATTGAGATGCATCTGTGAAAGGCAACAGGACAACGGTCTGTGAGAACACCGCTAAGAACTGTGTGGTGATGTGTTCACTGACCTCTGGTACATAGTTGTCCCTCCTCTCTCTCTCCTCCTCCTGCAGCTTGATGGAGATTCCCCTGACTGGTCCCCTCTGGATCCTCTTCATCAGATGTGTCACATACCTGCAGGAGCAGCAGCTAAACTCAACTCTTAGCTACACAAACAATCATGGAAAAAACATTACAGTTCACGGGGTTAATGTGGAGTGTC